TGACTGAACAAAACACAGATCAAGCAACCTGCCCGTGGCCGTGTCGATGACAGAGCTGGTCTGGTGAGAGACTCTCGGCTCTGCGCGCAGGGCGGAGGTGAGCTCCGGGAGGCAGCAGGACCCTCACTGAACCCCGTGGCTCTCAAGTGACACAGCTGCACGACGGCGGGTACTGGTGTGACAATGCACTTCACACCATGGAAAGGTCTGCGTCCATTTTCCTTCCGCTCATGGCCTCTGTGCAGGCTGGAAGTGAGCACCAGTGTGCTCCAGGCAGACCCGATGCTGCTGCCTGCCTAGTGATCAGCCTACGGAGTATCTCAAAAACACTGGTCAGTGATGGATTTGGCTGCCTACAACAGTGAGACACACCTTCAGCGTTTTCCCGTTCCCTTACTATATACACAACCCCTTTTTTTTCAAAAAGGTACAACAGGGTGATGCCCGGTGTTTGTAGTACAACATACAAAAAGGAAAAAACTTGCCAAAGAAATGTCTCTGTGGCTGGGGTCCAAGACTTTGAGGAGGACTTTAATCTCTTTTTCATTTTGATAGCCTTCGTTCTCATCATCTTTGTAGTTGAGAATCCCTGAGTAAATCTGTGTTCTCGTCCCTCTCCCAAGATGTTCGCCCTACGAGACAACACATATATTTTTCCAATCAGGACGTGAAGCAAACAAGTGTAGATTTACACAAATACTCGAATCTGCACTCTATTCTGGTTCTCCAAGTGGAGAGTGGACTTTGGCCTCCACTTGATCTAGCTACGTATAGACTTAAAATTATTACAGCGAGAAACCAAATAACAGCACGTTCTTCTTCTCTGCAGTGGACTCTCTGACTGTACTCACCACTGTGAACTCACCTGCTATTAAAGGGCTGTTCCACCTCCATCAGAATCAAACAGGTTCAGTGTGATTAGACTAAACACCGAATGAATAAACAACTGCCCTTACAATAAGCTGCTAGTGAGGCAATCTTTAATGTGTTTCCAAAAGTTAGAGGAAGCAATATTTCAATGGAACACTTTGTTTGGGAATGCAATTTCCTCCTAAATAACAGAGGATTCCGCCTTGGGGTATTTTTGCAGGAAGCCTGCGTGCTGACTGTAAATATACCAATCAAAAAACAATTAACGTAATCTATATCTGTCCTCTCCAGTTGGTGATGTGATTTAAAAAAAAAAAAAAAAAAGAAAAGAAAAAACCCAAAACTTTTTATTTAAGTGAAGAGGCTAACTGCACTATTTAAGAGCTCAGGTCTTTTAGAAACATTAAAGCTGGTTTGTGCATTCAAGCCACTGTGTGTTTTTTGAAGTTGATCTGGGTCACCTGTGTCACTAACTGCACACAACTGTCAGAAAATTTGGCTGCTGAATCACTCTGGAACATAAAATTCTGAAAGGTGTAAGACTCTTCAGAGCTTTTGAATATTTCACTTTTTATTTTACTGTAGGATCCTATCTTAAACTCAGGGTGCCTGCTTCTTTGGTATGTCAGGCTCTAAAAGATACAGCCACACTGAGCAACAAACTGGCTTGGAAAAGCAGCTCTTAAGGCTTTCCTGATTTTTTAAGAATGACCTTCGAAGCACCCCTTTCCACAAAGGGAAATTGCTCAAATATCCATCTGATTTCTAGCGAAAGGCATTACTTCCAAGCTTCTCCTTTTTATTTTTTTTCGGACAAGGACAGATAAACATTTAGATTCTGCAATAAGAAGCTTTAATACAAATAAAGATTCAAATGAAGTTTTGTTGAGGAGAAACGGGAGTGGGAGGACCAGCCAGAAGGGGGTGATTTGATATTACTTGACTGGGTACAGTGGGCTGCCACACTTCTTTGATGGTGAGAGAGAAGCACAGTCCAGCAGCTACTTACCTGCACGATTTCTTCCTTGAGGATTCGATGGAAACTCAGCTGCCCCAGGTGATAAACAGGCTGCCATTCCTGCGCCTTCTTGGTCGCAACCAGCAAGTTGGAGATTTCTGGAATGGAAGGCAGGGAGCGAAAACACTCTTTAAGACTTTTCAAAGATAACTGCGTACGTTCACCCTGCTCAGTCAGTAACTTTATGGTACGTGCTCACTGCAAGGTAAATACCCAAATGAATGAGGAAGGAGGAGAAAAGAAGAAACTTCGACTTCACTTCTGTCGAGTAACTTCTGTTCTATCATTCAACAGAGAATTCACTAAAATAGAGCTATAGATTTTATATTATGTATAAAATCTTAATATCAGCTATACTGAGGCTAATATTAAGAAATTGTTAGTTATTAACTGCAGAGAGAAATACCCAGGACTGAAACAGGCAATACCTCTGCCATGCTTTAAGTAAAATAACACACACTCTCTCCTGCCAACTGGTACGCCTCCTCTCCAGCGTGCGGATGGGTAAGGGGTAGCTGGAGTCTCACTTCCTCTCTTTACCTCCTTGAAAACTCATTGCACTCTGGGAAACACTAACAGTCTGCCCCCAGAGCACTAGAATTAAACTGGGGAATGGGAAATGAACAGAAGGAAAAGACTCAAAAGCCCGGTGCTTCCTCCCTGCTTCTGGTCAGGGAGAGGCATCGTTAGATGCAGAAGTCTTGCACGTGAATTTTGTCTTCCTGTGTTTGACAGCTGACATTATTTATTACAATATGATGGTTTTACATGTCCATGTGCATCTGGCCTTCCCATTACTGGGAGCAGAACATGTGTGTCACGGCTAAACCATGATCTAACACTCTGCAAACAACCAGTAATGAACCACACACTGGGAAAAGTGCTTTATTTCTGGATCCCCTAAACTTCTTTGTGAATAAGCAATTAAATAGATTCAAAAACAAGGAAAAAAAAAAATCAAAAAACAAGGAAGAGAGAGAACAGGGAACAGCATAGATAAAGCACTGGATCCCACTGTAACTAATGCCGATGAAAAGCTGAAGTGGGCAGTCAACTCTGTAACCTGTTTTATTTTATTCCAAATACAGCTGTCAAAATGTAATCAAAATGTCAAAATGTTTCATCTCTCCATGCTCCAGAAAATTACCAACATTCTTCAAAAGCGCCGATAAGCTCAGTGTCTATCTACAGAGCACTCTCCTTTAAAACCGTCGGAACAAGCAGGCAATTACTGCAGCTCAATTATTCCCCTTATTCTAACAGGAAACCGTTAATCTGATCAACACAATCACACCACTGTGTTTCCTCTTTCATACCAAACTCAGCTGCGAGACACTTGCAGTTTCTAGCAAACAGTTTTACTAAGTGTTGGCATTAACACACGGTTGTCCCAGCCCTCTACGACCGGAGCTCACCGATGGATTTACTGACTGCCAGGCTGCTCCAGACCAAGCCTTCCCTGCTGCTTCGGGAAGATTTAATAGAGCCAACAACAGCTCATAACGAGAGCAAACAAGCTGGAAAACCAGAGGCTGCTCCACAACCACCGCAGGCTGCAACCCTCCTGTGCTAGAGGGACGCGGCGCGATGCGTGGCGACGCTGCCTGGCATACGTGATGCTGGCTGGCATACGTGACGCTGCCTGGCATACGTGATGCTGGCTGGCATACGTGATGCTGCCTGGCATACGTGACTCGGTGGAGCAAAGGAAGAACCTTATATGGTCCCAGCTTCACCACAGCTCTCAGCCCGTGCCTCTGAGTCAGCTGTGACATTTTCTTTTCAAACAGATCTCGAGTTCCACCTCTGCCCATGATACTGCAGGGCCAGCTGTTTAGGTGCAAGAAGGGAAACCAGAACTTTTCTCACTGTCGTTTCAAAAGTTCACACAGAAAAAGGCTCCTGGGAAGCACCAGCCCCTGAGCGCCTTGTGCTGAGCTTGTAACGTTGAAAGGAAACTCCTAAAACCTTGTTCACAATGCTTGCTCTTGGTTTTTGGCAAGACTCCTCCACGGAGAAGTAAAAAAAAACTTATTATATGTAATTTTTTAAGTGTCAAAAAGAGCTTCACACAAGAATAGAGAACAAACCAAAGAATGCCTCCCACTTCTGGAGTTTGTTTCCTTTCAACAACAAAGTTTGTTGCCCCCCTTACAGGACAGCCTACCTCTTGGTTTTGGTTGGCAGCACCTCTTCAGTGTGAAGCTTATGTTGTCTGTCCGAAGTATTTGTCCTTTCAGGTGATCCATCAGCTCTTTTAAGGATGAGAAAGACTTGTTGGAACCATGTAGGAAGTACCCGCCTTTCTTCACCTCAATCTGGAAGTTCTTGTACTGGATTGAATTATTTATCATCTGGATTTAGGGGGAAGAGGGAGGAAAAAAAAAAGAAACAAAATATAATTATTAAAGTGAAAGAATGTTTTAAAGCCATAAAAGCTGCTCCAAAGCCTTTGAAATTACATGTAAAACCAGTTAATCACTTGCTCCTAAGCTAGGGTGCTCCAGTCAGACTCCATCAATGAAGTAGAAGGCGGCCCTAAAATTCCTATAACCTTCAGAGTCAGGAAGGCTCGAAATAACAGGGTGGAAGAAGAGCAAGATAAAGATGCAATCATCTAACGAGTCAAATTATGGCTTTTTTTTTTTTTTGGGGCGG